ATGGGGTGTGGCCAACCGCCGTCTCGCAACGTTTTCACCAATGACGCTGGCAACAACCGCCCACCTCCAGCAATCGTACCCAACGCGTTCAAGTTCTGGTGACTTCCTTAACGTTCAAATTCAGCGACAGGAAAATGAGAAGACAAAGTACCCGGAGTGGTGTTCTGTTCTGGCTCAAAGTTATCACGCTCGTCTCCGTCTCGTCAGTCGCACTATTTCACCTGGTGATTCGAATGATTTCACATTTTGTTCAAAAATCGATTATTACTTGTCCAACAGAGCCCAAGGCATTTGAGAATAGGAATGGCTGTACAAAGCTGAGGGGCTAGAGCTTCCTCAATCGGACTCTTTCTAAGAGACCAAGAAGTCCAACCAGACGATTGATTAACGCCACAGTTGTTGGGAAGGAAAAATAACAATACAAACTTGGACAAGCTCGCGCGAGCGCAAACAGTCTTGTTCGCGGCGGATGATGGGGCGTGTCAGGAGGACTGGGTTTGGCGCTACGCCAGCTCGTTTTCCATCAGCTGCTGAAGCGGGGAAGCAACAGCAATCGGTGGAAAAATGCTGGCGCTGCGCCAAACCAGTCACAAGGTGTGAACGCGGCCTAAGATTTTCCCCCCTGGACAGTGTACACGGTAAGCGGCGCTACGTGCCTCTAATCAAGTATACTATTTAAGAATGAAACTGGCATACCCTAACGCTCGTTCATAACAACTCATAAATGTGATTTTCGAGGGCAAGCATGAGTCACCGATGTGAAACATCTCATCAACCAAGCAGAACTGAGATTTTGCTCCAGCCGCGGTAGGTTGACATTGGTTCACTTTTTTTATGGAATATTCGTACTCATATTGTTTCCAGTAAACGAACAGTTTATCCGAAAAGAAAGGACATGGGCCCATGTCCGCCGATATTTGGCAAAATTACAGTATTCGTTGCATATCTAGCAGATGCGTTAAAGAAGTCAGTTTTGCACTTTGTTCTTCAGTTACTGTGGTTCTAACTCATGTCCTTGGGTTTTGGAGGTGCCTTCTCTTGTGCATAAGACTTTACAGTACAATGTAGGGAATCTGTGGAGGCCGCAAACATTGCGGTAGGAGGGCGTAGGATACCAGTTAAAGACAGGCTCCCCTTGCTCGGCCAAACTTATTGGACGTCTCTTCTTGCGTTCACGACAATGTTGGCGTCCTTCTCGTGTTTTAAATCGCCCAGTTTGCAGGCTCAAATGCTGTCTTACTTTCGCGACTCCACAAAGAGTGGCGAGGGCGCTGCAGCCGCCGTAAGCCCAAGTTCTGACACCTGCTCAGTTGGACCGCCTACCTACAGGTGTCCCTTTTACACTTAAAGCAGGGGCGCACAGTTGTTGTTTGGTGGAGCGGAGGGCAACAATCCGAACTGGGTGTCCATTTGTGCTGACCGCGCTGTAAGTTATTATGCTCTCCTTTATCACATTTTCTACATTAGGAGCTCCTGCAGTCTAACGCAAACCATTTCGCAAGATAAGACTTACTCAATTCACCAATTATCTAATTGCATTGGTGTAATGGTTCCTCAGAAAGCGTGTTTACCAACTACAAAATTTGCACAAAACGGTCTCAAAGACTACTTTCTGCCACAAGTTCAGCTCTACATCTTGATTTTTTTTCTCTGCTAGATGGCATTAGCACTGGATGACGCGAAGAAACATTTATAGAGCTGATGGTGGCAGGATATCGCTTTGATGGCGTGAAACAAGCAGGTCCGAAGAACTCGTGCAGTGAGGCTGCACCGGGTCCTTATTCAAGGTGTTCCCCTTCATGGGTTCTTTTTCTGTTCTTTTCCTTCCTCGAGAGTGACTTGTCGACCATAGTTTAAATTTAATAGGCTCGTGACTGAACGCCACAATCCAGAATATGCATTTGTGGGGTTTGTCTTCAAAACTCTCAGCTTTGGGCCGCGTTCATACTCCACGAATCGAGCGATTTCAAAATCGCACGAGTGTGATCGACCGTGTTCTACCGTCAAGCTACTACAACTGCTAATCGCGAAGCATGAACATGAGTGATAGTCAGTAAGAGTGTTTGCGGCCTAGCGTTATCACGCGTGCTACGCTTCCCCCTCTCCTCCCCGAGTCCCGTTAATCTCCGGGTTAAACCATCTGAAGCTGTATATACTCTCTCCATGCACTTGAGAATTAAACACAGGTCGCCTGTAGAAATTCTTGCGCATCATAATTTCCATCGTTTCCTTTGCAGAAA